CTCCTAGTAGCATTCTTTGCTCCTAGTAGCTTCTTGCTCCTAGTAGTTTCTTTGCTCCTAGTAGCTTCTTCCTCCTAGTACGGCCAGGAGCCCCTAGTAGCATTCTTTGTTCCTAGTAGCGAACATTGCTCCTAGTAGTACGGCCAGGAGCCCCTAGTAGCGCCCTTGCTCCTAGTAGGGATGCCCTTTGCTCCTAGTAGCATTCTTTTCTATTAGTAGCTTCTTGCTCCTAGTAGTACGGCCAGGAGCCCCTAGTAGCATTCTTTGTTCCTAGTAGCGAACATTGCTCCTAGTAGTACGGCCAGGAGCCCCTAGTAGCGTCTTTGCTCCTAGTAGCGATGCCCTTTGCTCCTAGTAGCATTCTTTGCTCCTAGTAGCTTCTTGCTCCTAGTAGTACGGCCAGGAGCCCCTAGTAGCATTCTTTGTTCCTAGTAGCGAACATTGCTCCTAGTAGTACGGCCAAGAGCCCCTCGTAGCGTCCTTGCTCCTAGTAGCGATGCCCTTTGCTCCCAGTAGCATTCTTTGCTCCTAGTAGCTTCTCGCTCCTAGTAGTACGGCCAGGAGCCCCTAGTAGCGTCCTTGCTCCTAGTAGCGATGCCCTTTGCTCCTAGTAGCATTCTTTGCTCCTAGTAGCTTCTTGCTCCTAGTAGTACGGCCAGGAGCCCCTAGTAGCGTCCTTGCTCCTAGTAGCGAACATTGCTCCTAGTAGCATTCTTTGCTCCTAGTAGCTTCTTGCTCCTATTAGTACGGCCAGGAGCCCCTAGTAGCATTCTTTGTTCCTAGTAGCGAACATTGCTCCTAGTAGTATGGCCAGGAGCCTAGTAGCGTCCTTGCTTCTAGTAGCGATGCCCTTTGCTCCTAGTAGCATTCTTTGCTCCTAGTAGCTTCTTGCTCCTAGTAGTACGGCCAGGAGCCCCTAGTAGCGTTCTTTGCTCCTAGTAGCGAACCTTGCTCCTAGTAGTACGGCCAGGAGCCCCTAGTAGCATTCTTTGCTCCTAGTAGCGAACCTTGCTCCTAGTTGTACGGCCAGGAGCCCCTAGTAGCATTCTTTGCTCCTAGTAGCGAACATTGCTCCTAGTAGTACGGCCAGGAGCCCCTAGTAGCATTCTTTGCTCCTAGTAGCGAACCTTGCTCCTAGTAGTACGGCCAGGAGCCCCTAG